ATCAAACACGACGTTCATGGTCACTGAGCGATGTAGCTACCATTCCGAGCATGTGTTCGTTTGCGGTGTGCGAGACACTGGTTTGTGCTGTATCCGGTAGTTCTGTAAGCACTGCCATAGGTTATAAATGACTCTCCCTGAAACGTAGCAAGTTTTAGGCCTTGAGACAGCACTACGGCTTCAGTGGAGCAATTTAGCGTCCATAGCCCTGCGCATCCATCGGTAACTGAAACCATACAATACGGAACCAACACATTTTTCTTAAGACAGTTTCTATGGACCGGTTCCACCGCAACATCGAACGAAGTACTAGCAGAAGACGAACAAACAACAGGAACGCGCATCGCGGATAAAGCGGGCACAACAGTGTCTTCAGAAACACAAAACACACTCTCTTGCTGGGATGATTCTTCTAAGAGCGCAGAGGACACACTTCCGCAAATACTGAGTTCTCCTGTTCGGCAGTCAACATTGGCGCCACACAATTTCAAAAAGTCAATGCCGAGAATTACATCGTGTGTGGAACGCGGAAGCACGGTAAACTCAGTGTTAAAGGTTTGACCACCCAAGGAGACATCCACGTTACACACACCACCGGGTATAATGAGTCCCCACTCACTCCACGAAAGCTTGTGCTGTGGTCCCAATGAAACATAACCTTGCGTCCCAGCAGATTTTTGAACACCACACTCATGACAGAAACAGTTGCTCCCGTGTCGACTAAAGCCATGGTAGAAACGCCATCAATAAGTACATTAACCTTATTCTTCAGCATGAAGATAGGTGGAGGTATCCGAGTCGGCAGCAAAGATTTTCCAGCGACCTCACCTCCATCGGCCGCGCTGGCTAGTTTCCCGGCGGTGGTGACGCGAAGCGGCGTCGAGGAGATGATGACGTCACACGCCGTCTGGGAGATGGAGATCGAGACGCTCGGAAAGCTGGTGGTGGTGTCAGAGTACGTTCGGAGGCAGGAGAGCGGTAAACGGTTTCGATACCTTTCTTGTTCTCCAGAATAGCTGTCCAGAGGGAAGTGACGGCTTCTTTCTTCTCGGAAGTAGCCTTCAAAAGTGGTGTTTCCTGGCCTATTAGTGTCCATTGCACGACCACCGTGTTGCATAAACGATCCCGACTGTCCATTGCTGAATGCCCGACGTCGGTTACAATACCTAGCTATGTGGCCAGGCGTGCCACAGTTGTAACACACGGGCAGAGGGCGAACTTCCGGACGCTGATTGAAATATTCCACAGCGGCCACAGGCTGAGAGTAACTCATCCCCTCCCCTTGGATGTCGTAGGCAGTGCTGGGTCTTCGTGGGCGAACGTCGCGTGGATGCTGATCAAAACGCCGATCAATCGAGTCGTAATGGCGTTGTTCGGTCTGGCCATAATGCGGGTCGTGTCGGTAGCTGTACAATCCGCAGCATTCACCGAATGCTGCCAAGTAGCCGGAGGAGATGCGCAGACGGCGTCTCGGAAAGCGACGGAGGCGCAACGCGGCACCGCATAACGCGTTTGTTCTTCGTGCCGCAGGAGCTCCTCACGGACAATCTGCCGAATGGTAGCTGAGAGGTCTGTCTGCGGACTCGCGTCAACGCTGGCCACAGTCGTGACATTGGCTAGCCGTCCAAACTTCGGCGTGATTCGGCGAGTTTTCAGCGCCTCGAATGTGCGGCAGTGCCGAATCACGTCTGATACGGTGTTCAGGTTGTCTTTTCCAATGAGGAAGTTATAGACGTCTTCCGCAATACCTTTTAAAAGGTGTCCCACTTTATCTTCCTCGGGCATTCGAGAGTCGATGGTCTTACACAGCTTGAGAACTTCTTCAATATATGTCGTGCAAGTCTCGCCGATCACCTGAGCTCTCTGAGCTAAAGCTGTTTCCGCTCGTTTCTTCTTAGTGTCCGAGTCGCTAAAGCACTTCTTCATTTCTTCAATAAGACTGCTCCATGTAGTAAGCGTGTCGGCGTGGTTTTCATACCAAACCAGGGCCGTGTCCGTCAAATAAAAAACGACATGCCTGAGCTGGCTGGCCGGGTTCCAGTTGTTGCATTGGCTTACCCTTTCGTAATGGGTCAGCCATTCATCGAAGTCTTCCCCTGGCTTTGCTGAGAACGGCCGTGGCTCTCGGTAATGCTGATACAGCGGTGGTCTTGCCGAGGCATTGCTGAGGGGGTCATTTGCTCCAGAGACATGTCGGGGCGCGATGGCGAAAGTCCGGCAAGGCGACGGCTTCTACGAAGTTCTGGTGCTGACGGCTCCGTCGTAGGTCGTGGGAGGTACCCAGCACAGCTCCACCAAATGTTACACGCAAGAAGTACACGAAAAGGTTGAAAAACAGGCGAGCCTGGATGGTTCGCGTTTACTTCCACAAGGGGTCTCGAGACAGCACACCCAACGTCGTCTTCCTTCTTCACCTTTTGTCTGAATGTTCATTCGCGCTGTATGCGCCGTGCATTGCAACCGCTCGTGACAATATATATATATATATATATATATATATATATATATATATATATATATATATATATATATATATATATATATATATATATATATATATATATACGTGTGTTGTGTGTGTGTGTGTGTGTGTGTGTGTGTGTGTGTGGAGACGAAACGCAAAGCCCGCGTGCTCTTGATATAGGTGCGCGTTTTAAATAACACAGTGTGGTCAAAATTAACCCTGACTCACAACTACGGTGGGCCTCATATACATATTGTAGCTGTTTTGCACCCAAGTAATTATTGCCGTCGCCTTGCACCTACCGAAGTGCAAACAGAAATATGCACACCTGTTTCGAAATGAATGATGCGACCAAAGGCATTCTAAGCGTACCATCCCAAATGCTGTTGGACTATCAAGAAGAAAAGCAACTGCTATCCATGAGTTCACGGCGTTAAGTCGTGCCGGCTACGCTTGCACAAACATAATCACAGGGGCGAAGACACTAAGAGGGAGTTACTGAACGAGGCAGTGCTGTGTGCTACCGTTCCGATCATGCAAGAAACCCACAAATAAATATTTAAACCTAATGTGTGTAGATTTATATTCCGTAAGTTGGCAGGCTCAAGTAGCTCCCACTAACGCCGCCGGGGAGGGGTTCGCGTAAAGACGGTGGACGCCTATGCGAAAGTAGGTCAGACCATTTAACGAGCAGCTAAAGTGCGGAGGGCATGATGGAAATGACTCCGTTCGTTACGACGGGGCTGCCTCTTGTAAGATATACGTATTCGTACTAATTACACGTCACCCATGCTGACGTGTTAGGCTATATATATATATATATATATAATATATATATATTATATTATATATATATATATATATATATATATAGTCTAGTAGATCCCTCCGTGAGCGGTCACAACGTGGTTTATTTCGACGTTTCGGCCTAGAGTCTGGCCTTCAGGAATAAAGCCATATATATATATATATATATAATATATATATATATATATATCTATATATATATATATATATATATATATATATATATATATATATATATATATATATATATATATATCACAGAATATCTATCTTTAAGGTACGTTATGTTCGTCATCACTTTCGTAAGCACTGTGAGATCGTTAAAAATCATTTATTGAACATGGGTGGTGGCTGCTTACTTTTTGACAGATTAACCGCGAATACGATTCACATCATTGCTAAAAAAAAAAAAACAGAGCAATATTAAGTCAGAAAACGATTGTTCCGCAGTACTTATCAGTGGATTAACAAGCTTTTTCTTTCCACTCTTACCTTTACTTTATTAATGTTGTTATTATGTTTAGATTTTTATTTACTTATTTATTTTGCGGGAAGGGGCCAAGTGCATCGAGCTACGCTAAGTATCTGTCAGCCGAATTAGGGAAATATTCATGGATCGATGGGTTGAGATAAAGGAGGCTATGGTTGGGAGCAAGTGACCGGCGAGCTCGCTCCTAGATGCACCTCTGGTAAATCAGATAACCATTATTTCTGAATTGATTGATATGTGGGGTTTAACGTCCCAAAACCACCATATGATTATGAGAGACGCCGTAGTGGAAGGCTCCAGAAATTTTGACCACCTGGGGTTCTTAAACGTGCACCCAAAATTATTTCTGAATTCGCAACCAAAATATTTCATACACAAATACTGACAATACGTTTCAAAGCGGTAGGTATCGTCAATGCGACCTCATAAAACGCACGGTGATTTGCAAAAAAAAAAAAGGATGAAAAATAAAGAGGCACAGAAATATGTCACGCTGATGTGCAGCGCGAAGCGAATAACAGCTGTTCGCCGGGAGCGCTAAAAGAATGAAACAGGGGAAAGGGAACTCGTTCGAGTGCAGCTTGAATAAGGCTGCAGGCGGAAAGGAGGAAACCCATTCTGCAATAAAGTCGTAGCTTCGTGGACGGAGCAGACGGCGCAGCCGGACCACCCTTTCCAGTTTTGTTACGCAACGAGACGTAGCGAGGAGGAAAGCCACCAGGCCGAGACCAAAACACGGTGGGCACGTGCTGTTGGGGCAAATGTCTCGAAAGAGGGGAAAAAAATATCCTAGCAGGCCACCGTCTGCCAGCGCAAGAACAACTGGGTCTATCGGATTGCATCGAAGAGCAAGCATAGAGCCGAATGTCGATTACGGTCTGGGTTGGATTTGTGGCCAGAGGATGCGCTAAATCGGCGGTTATTCCTGAAAATAAATTACGGAAGCAGCTAAACGAAACACGATTTGGGAGTTTATAACACCTTCCAGTCTGTGCTTGTAGAAATATCAACGTGCCAAGAATATTCATATCGCATCGGGGAAAAACCTGATGTGGCAAAAACGCGCACTTGGACTTGCACAAATCGCTATCGGAGGATAGCGAGAACCTCTACGTACAAGAGCGAGCTATCGACATAGCATATACCAGCTTAATATTGCATGAATGCGGAGGCGCTCGGAGGCTATTGCCGTCGGCTGCTAGTGCAGTGCATGCCACTTCTAAATGGGAGCGTACGCACCTTGTGATGCTTCGTTCCTCTTCTGTTCCAGTCGAAGCAAGCCGACTTTCAGCGGTTCTGACAATGGGAAACTTGCACTAACAGAGACCGGCTCTGGCACGCACTTTTGAAGCAAGGTCCAGGTGATGCAGCAGCGAAATCCAAAAGGGGAAAGAAGGCGTTCGATGAAATGCTGGAGCAAGGGGAGCGTGGAAACCGTTCACTGCGTGAATAGGGCAGGAGGGGACGTCATCGGACCAACACTTTGACAGGGTAACAAACAACACGACACACACAATTTGAAAGAATCGCGAACGTCGCGCGCACTGGGGTGAAAAGTCGTCCACGAGAAAGCAGCGCCTCGGGTAGAGTCGGGAAGACAGCGAAATCTAAAGTTGTCGGCGTGGCTTGGTATGCGAACTGCCACTGCAGCGTTCGAAGGTGGCGGGCCTCCCGGGCCACCGACGCACGCCAACTCGACAGAGAGCCTCCCCGTCCGAAGGTCGCCAGCCAACGTCCGCGTCCGCGTGTTCCGAGCCGACGGACGGGTAGCGGGAACGCGGAGCGGAGAACAACTACCGGAACTGCGTCACTTTGCCGGAAGTGCTCCAGGTCCGCCCTACTAGAGCTCGCCGAGGGGGGGACGAGCGGCGTGCTTCTCCCTCGCTGAATGGGCCACGCAATGCTGCCAAACGGGTCGCAGCTTTAACAATCGTGCGCTCGGGCTGCGGCAAGTTTATGCAGGCCGTGCAAGACTGGTGTAGTGCCAATAGAGGTGGCTGACTTGTTTGCGCAAAATGCGACTATTCAGATTATCCCCACCAGGGAGCCCTGGAAAAACTTGGCAGTACTTTGGACTTCCAACGCGTCATTTAAGGGATACATGGGCCAAAGGAGTTACACATTGAAGCAGGGATATTAATTCTAAGCGATTCACATCACAAAATCAAGATATGATTATGAGAGATGCTGCAGTAACATGTAATGTCGCAGAAACAGGGTGGGTGCGAAGTCACTTTTACAGAGTTTAGAGGTTCTTTAGCAAAATGTTTATTACGCATAAAGCAACAATTTTCCATCACCGAAAATATAAAGGCAGTGCTGACTTGTTTATCAAGCCATTGTGATGCGGTGAACTTCTATGAAAAGAAGCGAAAATGGTTCATTGGGCTGCGTTGCTCCTTCAGAGCAGTGACGTCCTCCTGTTCGCGAGCTATACACGTCATGCTCTTTTGCGCCACTCCCTGCCACGCAACAAGAGAAAAGAGAGTGACCATATTTTAAGACATGACGGTAGTTATAGCACGAGAACAGAACGACGGCACAGAGACAGGAAGAACACGAAGGACACTTCTTGTCTCCGTGTCGTCGTTCTGTTCTCGCGCTATAATAAAGTCATACCAACTAGCCCAAGCTCCCACACTTGTAAGTTACATATTTTAAGGTCTGGCGGTCCCACCTCATCATCATCATCATAATCATCATCAGCCTGACTACGCCAACTGCAGGACAAAGGCCTCTCCCATGTTCCGCCAGTCGACTCGGTCCTGTGCTTGCTGCTGCCCATTTATATTCGCAAACTTCTTAATCTCATCTGCCCGTCTCACCTTCTGGCTCCCTCTAACCCGCACGCCTTCTCTGGGAATCCAGTCAGTTACTCTTAATGACCAGAAGTTATCCTGTCTACGCGCTACATGTCCGACCCACGTTCATTTCCTCTTCTTGATTTCAACTATGATATCCTTAACCCCCGTTTGTTCCCTAATTCACTCTGCTATCTTCTTGTCTTTTAAGGTTACACATACCATTTTTCTTTCCATTGCTAGCTACGTCGTCCTCAATTTAAGCTGAGCCCTCTTTGTAAGTCTCCAGGTTTCTGCTCCATAGCTAAGTATCGGCAAGATGCAGCTGTTATATACCTTCCTCTTGAGGGAGAGTGGCAATCTACATGTCATGATTTGAGAGTGCTTGCCAAATGTGCTCCACCCCATTCTTATTCTGCTAGTTTCTTCAATCTCGTGGTTCGGCTCCGCGGTTATTACTTGCCGTAAGTTGACGGTCCCATATGGCGCCAATTTCACACGGGGTGTACCCCCAAGCGACAATGTACTTCGTTGTGCCGAGAACCAGGCAGTAAGTGTGCTTGTACCAATTTCACCAGTAGGTAACCGGCGGCAGCAATTCTCTGCCTCAGCCGACTGCACCAGTGGGTGCTCAACTATTTCACCAAGGCTGTGGTAGATGAAGGGGCACTCAGGGGCTTCTGCAGAGCATCATTCAGATGAGTACCCACGAACAACCAAGCGTCAGGTTGGTGTACTCCTCTACCCATTGGAAAAAACCGGTGGGTGTCCTGTCAGCACTGGGAATTGAACCCCGTACCTCCCGCATTGAAAGTGGACGCTCTCATTATGTAGCCAACGCTCTTTTACGCTACTCCCTGCGGCGCAATCATTTTTCGTACTTATGTATGGTGACCGAAACATTTTTTTTTTAATATCATTGCCGAAATTCCACCATGAAACTTTTGGGACCACCCATGGTCATGTGTTTTAAGGCTCTAGAGAGAGCTACCTAAAAAGTCGGTAACACCATACAAAAGTTCGAAGAGAACGGGAAGTCCTAACCTTCCACGAAGCGACTCAGTTCAGACTATTCAGCTACAAATCTACACAACAGCGCGAAACACTGTCCACAGTTTCTCATTAAATTTTACAGCGAAAGCTGTGTGAGGTCACAACAAGGGCCGTTTTCGGCGCCGTAGTTGTCCGCCGCCAGTTTCCGTAAACCCTATCTCGTGGAATAAGAAAAAAAACTAACTAAATAAAAAAAACAAGAGAGGACAGAATTCGAACCCAGACCCCCTGCGTGCTAGCCCTGTAATTTGCAGCTGAGCCACGCCGGTTTTTGTTACAGCAAAAGCTGTTGTGAGATCACAACATGGGTCACGTCCGGCGCCGTATAGTTGTCCGCCACCGCCACCGGTGTTCGTAACACTCAAAAAAAAAACTGAGCACATAAAACACACCAAAGACCAAATTTGATTTGGACCCGGGTGCTGTGCGTGCCAGCCCAATATTCTACAACTGAGCCACGCCGGATTTCTTTCTTTTATTTCCGAATAACCTTATTAACCTTTGCGGGATAAGACAAATATACTATAATACACAACAAACATAACAGAAAAATTACCACGGACATCAAGCACTTCACGTCTTGAAATTCCTTCATGGTCACTAGGGGTTCTACTTTTTCTAACCGTAAAGGAACACGTTCGTTTGTTCTTACTACCCCAAGAAAACTTAAGATACTTTCTTTAATATACTGTCTTCCTGGTCTTCTGTCAGGATCATAGTCAAATGCTGTCATTCGAGAGCACCATTATAATCTGCAAGGCAGTCATCATGAATAAATCAAAAGGTAATCCATCATCAATCTCTACCTGGATTCCACGAGGGTCTAATGGAAATTATTTTATAATTTTACTTTGTAATATGTCCCAAAAGTATTCTCCTTCCCAACAGTGCAGGAAAACTTCGTGCAATTGTTTCTGGTTTGTAACAGATTAGACAGTGACGGACCATGGCATATGAAAACCACGCTCCTTCAGGAGGGTTTTTACAGAAGTCTTTTCGGTGTGTTTTTTTAATAACGTTATTGCATTCGAAGCTGCGTGCATTTTTTAAAACTCGTTTAAATACATTCTGACCTTTACGCGCTGTATATAGCGCTCTGTAGAATGGAATCGGGAGCACAGTATTACATAAATCTTTGGTACAGTTTTTTTTTCTTTCCAGCAGACCACACGTAGTCAGTCGAAAAACGAACACACCAAAACAGCACGCTGGCCACAAGTTCCTCATGTAGCCTCGCACAGCCTCTGTCATAAATTCAGTGCTCATAACAAACTCAGACAATAGTATGAGTCTTACTTCACACGCTCAGCTGGAAAGGATCCTTTGTGTCATGGAAAAACAAAAACCAATTTACTAACTGCTTGATAAACAGATGTCCTAGCCCAAGGCCTCCACACCTTACCCGTCTAAACAAATTCGTGCGTCCGCACCTTTTCCAGTTACACCCCACACAACTATTGGAAACACCGGATGTAATTTTTGTACATTGATCCGGGAACAGTACAGCACTTGCATAACACACACACACACAACACACACACACACACACACACACACACACACACACACACACAACAGTTGCAGTTGTATACAGCAGCGTTAGCAAACATCGCGGATAAGTTGCTTTCCACTTGTTCGCTTTCGCTTTTATTTTTGTTTGCTGTTTCCAATACTCATCAGTACTTTTGTGTGACTCGAGTGGAACTCCGACATATTTAACTGGTGTTTCTGTCTATTTAATGGCTGCGAAAAATTCTGGGGTTGAAGGCAAAGATCCATGCCAAAGGCCAAGCCATTTACCCCAGTTTATGTGGCTTCCTGCAACTTCGCTGAAAGACTTAGAAACTCTTAATGATTCATCAATACCTTCATAGGTAGTACAGATCGGAACATCATCAGCTTATGCGAGTGGTTTGACCTCTGAGGATTCTAAGCGAAATCCACTAATGTAATCGTTCTGCAGTATCGACAGACATAATGTTTAAATGTATGCAAAACAACAATGGACTAACTGGGCAACCTTTGCACACGGAGTGCTCAATTCTAATGGAAAGGCCCAATTTCTTGTTGATTATTAGTCTTGTACTACCATTTCGATGTGCTATGGCTACACCATCAACAATTATTTAACCACATTAATGTGCTCCAGTACTGCATACAAAAGAGCGTGGGTGACGCAATCAAACGCTATCTCTAGATCCAGCTGGAGTATGACCACATGAGCTTCATTCTAGAACAAACCGCATTTTACGAACATTTGTTAATATGAAACAACCTTTGATTACGGAACTATGAAACGACCTGGCACATGGACCATCTGGTTCCGGAGATATGCCGGGATTTAACTTATCAATCACCCATTCAACTTCAGATACAGATATAGAGAATTCCAAGGCGCTTTTCACTTCATCGCTCACTTGTGGCATGCGTCCTAAATATTCTGCTTTAAACCTTTCTATGTATACCTGTCTACACGCAAAAAGATTTTCAAAGAGTCTTGAAAAGATACATGAAATGCTGTCGGTATCGGTTGCTTCGTGACCACGTTTCTCAATTTCTTCAATGTGATTCCGCCGAGCGTTCGTTTTTACCACCCCTAACGCTCTTTTGGTAGGCGTTTCTCCAGCAGCTAAAGCCTCAACCTTAGCACGGACGAGTGCACCGCGGTAACATTTCTCATCATGCAGTGCGAGTTTCTGCTCAATGTTGCACATGTCATTTTTTTTTGTTCCTCCGGCTGCTTGCACTCCAAGTCAAATAACCTTTCGAAGGTCAATCGGAGTTTCTTTTTTTGTCCTTTTCCTTCCGTAACTTATTGCGCAAGAATGATCAATAGCTTTTATTTTTATTCGCTGCTTGAACTCTTCCCACCTTCCGGCAGGTTTCACTTCATCAGTCATTCTTATTTCATT